TTTTCTTTTTTGTTTTAAAAACGTATAGTTTCCAAGATATTTTACTTTACATTACTTTAAATTAAATGTTTAACTTTAATTTTATGCGTCTTTAGATCAATGATCCAGATTCTTTTTGGAATGCTTGATTAAAGTGAGTTTTCTTACCTCTCACGCTTAAGGTCTTGTACGTGTATATATAATTAAATTCCAATTCCAATCTTTCTACAATTGATTAAAATTGTAAGATTTTTTTCTATAAAAATTGTTTTTGTAATTTTTTTGAGTTTTAATATTTTTATTTTTTAAAATGTTTTTTAATTGTTTTTAATGTTTTCAAATTAAAAAAAATTTTTTTATAGTTTTAAGTTTTATAGTTTTTATAATTTTAAGGTTTTGGAGTTTATATTATCTATAACCGCAAAATTATTATATATATATATATATTGTATAAATTTTTAAGTTTTTATTTATATACATATACTTTTAGGTTTATTTCTATATTATTCATAATATGTACTGGTTTTTTTACACATAAAAATTTTTTTTGAATTTTTTATTTTTTTAAATATAAGAGTAAAGTGCTCCTTATACGTTTGTTCTGACAAAACTGAGAATTGTTCCGGATTGTTCTGTGTCTATTTCTCATTGTTCTAGGTTTTAGTGTCGCTGGTGTAACATTATCGGTCGAAAAAGACAAAATAACTCTCTACCTTCAAGAGTAAAGTGCTCTTTAAACGTTTGTTCTGACAAAACTGAGAGTTGTTCCGGATTGTTCTGTGTCTATTTCTCATTGTTCTAGGTTTTAGTGTCGCTGGTGTAACATTATCGGTCGAAAAAGACAAAATAATTCTCTACCTTCAAGAGTAAAGTGCTCTTTAAACGTTTGTTCTGACAAAACTGAGAGTTGTTCCGGATTGTTCTGTGTCTATTTCTCATTGTTCCAGGTTTTAGTGTCGCTGGTGTAACATTATCGGTCGAAAAAGACAAAATAATTCTCTACCTTCAAGAGTAAAGTGCTCTTTAAACGTTTGTTCTGACAAAACTGAGAGTTGTTCCGGATTGTTCTGTGTCTATTTCTCATTGTTCCAGGTTTTAGTGTCGCTGATGTAACATTATCGGTCGAAAAAGACAAAATAATTCTCTACCTTCAAGAGTAAAGTGCCTTTTATATGTTTGTTCTGGTGAAACTGAGAGTTGTTCTGGGTTGTTCTATTCGTTTTTAGCTTAAATATGTAATTTGGTGTCAAAACATAATATAATAATAGCGATAAATGTAAAAATACTATTTGGACGCTTAATGCTATTTTTTGCTATATCTTTTTAAATTCTTTTTTAGGGGGATTAATATTTTAGAACAATGTTTAGAACAATTAGAACAATCCAGAACAGCAAAAAAAATTTGAATTTAAAAAAAATGGGTGGCCACAAAATAAATCGTTTTTTGCTTTTCCCGTCATGTTTTTCGATTTTTTTGTTCATAACTTTGGAACAATATAGAACAACCTGGAACAACTAAAAAAATATTCAAAATCGAAAAATGGGGGGCTAACTTCATATAGGCGTGGAGTATGAAGATACCGTCATACTCAATAATCGATTATCAATTATTTTACTTCCGTTGCAAACACAATACATTGCAATATTTAATGTTTTAGTAAGTGATATTTTTCACACTAAGGCCTTGTGCGATGTTGAAATTCACCATCTTGTCGATCTCCCAAGATAAAACTTCCGCGGTGACTAGAAAGTAATCATTAACGATCTTCTCTTAGTCTAATTATCACAAGGCCTTTGATGAGAAAGAAATATTAATATGACACAGATTCATGATTGAAACTGACTTAACACTATAACTTAGTATTAATAAATTTTAATTTATATTTTACGCACATATATATCCATTTTGTTTAGGAAATAAAAAATATGATACTTTGATCTCTGGTTTCTGCATGGAGAAAATTTTATATCAAAAATTACTATACAGCAGTAGAGTTGAGGACCATAAAAGGAATTATAAGTTTAAATACTACGGCCATTATGTAAAAAACGTAGTGAACATTTTTATAATTTTTTTATGGTCCGCGGCTATTGTCGTACACAGTAATTTTTTATATAAAATTTTCTTCTTGCGTGAAAGAGAAATATCAATCAAAGAAAAATAATTGGGACATTCATTAAAATGCTAGTCTTACCTATCGCGAAATCGATGCTTTAAGAATATCTTATCTTATATCCTATTCTTTTTGTGTTTCAGGCCAAACAACGTGCCTCCGTAAAATGGCTCTTATCGAAGGCATACAACAATCGAGTGCCAGAAAAGCTCCGCGAGCCGTATTATCGTGATCATGAGGTGAGCTTGAATTTAATGATTTTTTTATTAACAGCTTCGTCTAAGTAATTAGCTTTTACGACCTTCAAAGGTGTCACGGAGATGTAATCTATAATTAACGAAATTTAATCTTGCTGCAATTACTAAAAATTAAAAATAATTTTAATTAATAAAATTGTAATTAAATATTACTTTTAAAAAATTAATAGTTTCACAAACCACCTGTATTTTTAACAGAATCTTTTTATACTATTTTATTTGAGAAAATGGATTATTTTTCAAAATGTATTACGGTTCTTTTTATTCTCATTGACTTCTTGTCATCGATAGCTTCTTTCTATAATGTGAGATGAATGTTTCCTCATTAAAAGTCGCCGTCTTTCCAAGCTTTGAGGGTGTCCTGAAAATCTCTTTTTTGTGGGACATGTCATTATTCCGGAGAAAACGGGTCTCCGTCGAGAAAGGCGGTGCTGTAAAGATGCCGAAGCATCTATGCAGTGAGAGACGCTAATAATGTTCTTCAAATATAATCTCGTATCGAACTCTGTGATGAGGGAAACAAAAGTTGCGTCACAAATTATGTTGTCGATAGGCTTTATGCTGTCCCAGAAGTCTACGAGAAAATGTAACCAAGATTTTCACAAAGTTTCAGGAAACTTTACAGAAATTTCACTATGTGCTTCCTTCGCGAACAGAATCTAATAGTATCTCTTTATATGAAACATGCTCGGAAATAAAAGAGTATCTTATTTGTAAAAAATATGATGTAAGCTTTTTGCTTTTACTCATTATTTGTAAGTTTACTCGAGCAAAACATTTTTAATACATTTTAATGAGAAACAAATGTTAAAATGACTTAATGTATGTAATACATTTAACACTGTAAACTTCCGCATTTACTAGAAGTATTTATGCAATGAACATTTGACGTAATCGAGACTAAATTTCCCGCATTCTTCGTATTATCGCAATTCGTCATCACCATCGATCCAATTAAAGTAATTACATTACCGGACTGCTGTCCTACTATACGATTCTCCCTTATAAGTCGTCAGTGAACCGAGAAACTTGCCTATCGGACGTTCGTTTCTCTTCCTTTCGATTCGGTCAGGATTTGCTAAGGACTTGCTTTTTGAGAATATGGGTCAGCGTGAAACGAAAGAGGTCGAATGTCCTCGTAGAGTAAGTGCCGAGACGATTTATGAAAAAGCTCTCTTTTACCTCGAAATGCACACGCGAGAATTACATTGAAATATTTTCTACTAAAAATATGTTCTTCTGGCAGATACGCCGAGTTAGAATCTTCTCGTATAATTTTATTTTTTGCTTATATTTTTACATAACTTTATTTTTATTCTTCTGTATTCTGACAAAAGAGAAAATGTGTTTTTTTTACGTGAGACAGCTAAAAAATTATTACAAAACGATGATGTAATTTCCAAGAACAATGGTTGAAATCGAAGTTATAAAAGTATTTTTCGAGAATATGTGTGTTCACAAAATGAGGAAGCTTGAAATAAAGACGAGGAAGATAAGTAGATGCGAATTTATACAGTTATATAGTTTACAGATCATAAATATTAAATGATTCAGAAAGAAAACTTGTCAGAAGTAGCTAAGAAACTTGTGTAGATCATGCGTTTACTTTCGAAGAGCAATGTTTCCTTTTACATAGTGACTAACAATCACCGACAGCACCGAATATTTTTGTTATTGTTTCTTTTTTTTTATATAAAACCCATATATAATTCTATTTATACCATTACTCTACACTAGTAATTCTATTTCACTTATTATCTTTCAATTATCTCTGCTTCGCCTATTCTATAACGTTCACCCAACAACTTTACGTAAAAACTTTTCGAGATTCTACCTTTGATATTTCGCCCACATTACAGTCTGCTGCACGAAACTTTAACGAAGAGACCATTCTCCGTACTTCGATGTAGAGTTCAACTATTATATCGATGGCAATATTTCACAAAGTCGAAATCGATTTGATCGAGGATTTAATTTTAGATTTACGTAATCTTGAAAGTTAATTAATTTTAATTGAACAAACTTAAGGAGAGAAATACGCAATAGAATCTTATTTCTTTTTCCAATCTTCAGGATATAAAATATTGCGATGTCTATTTTTATCAGTGTTATGTTGTTTTGATTAACATTACTGCAATTATAAATTATAATACTGTATACAATGTATCTAAAAAACGTGACCGGCATTTCTTTTATAAAATTTATTTCAATAAATTGAAAAAAGTTACACATTTACTTACAAATGAATATGCAACCACATCAGTAAGTTGTCATTGTTGTCAATAATAGTCTGGCATGAATTTCCGTAGCACGAATCTACTATTGTACGGAGATGTCAGGCTATTATGATAAAAAGTTGATCATAAAAAAATGATTTAGGTTGGTACGATTGAAAGCTTCAGTATAATTTTCAGCCGTCAAACTATTTACTCGGACGAGTCACAAATAGGATCATCCTCCGGTCTAGACAGGGCATGAAATCAATTTAACAAAGGAAATACCGATTACGTTTTAGATATATTGTAATATATAATGATGAATATTAAACTATAAAGGTAAATTATCTTTTATAAGAATATCTTCCCTATTTTGTTAATATAATAGATAACAGTTAACAATAAAACAATCAGTCTTTTGTATCAAGATTAGAAATCTACAATTTTGTTTGACAAATTGCTTTGATTGAATCAGTTTGGCACTGATTATTTGCTTTTTTGCTCTTGCTCTAAACCATTCGTCTTCCAAAGAAACCTTACAGGACATGTTATACATGATATGTATCGGTAGCATTTATAAATGGTTTCCGTGGTTACTCGAGCTGTTCGACCTTGTCGGCTATCTTGTATCACCTCGGATACTCGTCGAAACAAAGCTTCCGTGTCCTTCGACACGACCAATCATGAAGTCGGCGTAGGGAAACGTGCAGAACATTCTTGTGAAGACAAGACCGCCCCCCCCCCCTGAATCATCTATGGCACTTTCACTATGCTTAGATCTTTAGAGAGGAAAATCTCATATAATCTATCATCTAAATAATGTCATTTTTAAAATAATCGTTTGAATGACTGAAAAACGAAATTATTACGGCGTAAATTTGAAAAATTTATTGAACGAAAATTTGTTTTGCTTGGACGCATATAAAAAAAACTCGTAAAATATGCCGAAGTGTAGCAGAATAATTTAGTTCTAATTCGTATTAATTATTCGAGCGGAAGTGTATAATATTTCTCTGAAGTTGGCCCCCCATTTTTTAAATCTGAACAAAATGATTAGAGTTCTGGATGTCCCCCGAAGAGTTCTAGCTATCTCAAGCTACCGAAGTAAAAATAGCGTATATGTATGTCAGAACAAACGATCAATAATACCAAAATTTTGTGCTATTTTTTTGTTACGTTTTACCTACAAGAATATTTTTTTCGCTCCAACCATTAAAAAGTTACGAAGAGCTAGATAGCTTAAGCTACCGAAGTGTGTATAATGATGTTGGGCCGAGTTATACATAGTATAATAATTCACTATCTTTATTTGAAAGGTGATTTTAATCAAAGACGATCTTAATGTTTACAGGAGCAAGAACACCTTAAACCGCAGATCGTGCACGCGCTTTCAAATGCGGAGCTCTATTGTCTCGCCCTGGCCAACATATACTCGGATCCCAACTATCACAATCAGAATCACTACGGGATCTTGCAAGCCCTGGCCAGGAAAGGCGTCTACGTCACGGAGCAAAACAATACTCAACTCACCGAAACGATCCTCATTCAAAATTCACCACTCAAGATGGTAAGCTCTCTGTTGCCGGTGCAGAAGGCAACTTGTAGTCATGCTTTCTCGTTCGAATGCCTTCAGAATTCATAGAAATGGCAATCTTAAGTGATTGGAACTTATTAGTGTAACCCCATCACGATTCCTTTGGAAGTCGCAAAAATTTGACGACAACTGGTTTTTTCCAGGCTCGAAATTATTTTAATGACTTTTAATCTCGTTGCAGTCTGCGCATATGGCTGTGATAGAAGGCCTGATGGTCTTGTACGCGAAGGAGGTGGTGACGGGGGACCGGGTGGTCTCGGCGATACGGCGATTCGACCCACAGGCCGAAGTTGACGTACCATCGGATCACGAGAAGGGCCTCCTGCTCTGGATCAATCACGCGTCGCGTGCATTAATCGCCAAGATACAGAGCGAGGAGGGCGCCGGCGATAAAACGCGGCTACCCGAATTGCCCGCCGCCAAGGACTTCCAGTCCCTGTGCGACGGCGTCGGTCTGGCAGCTGTCGTCGCGTTCTACTGTCCCGGCGAGCTCAGCTGGATGGAGATCAGAGTGTCAAAGAGACCATCGGTGGCCGACGCGCTGCACAATCTTTCTTTGGTGCACGCGTTTTGCATCAAATGCTTGCCCTACTCGATTTTCCACATGCAGCCCGAGGATGTCACGTATATGAGAGGGTGTGTGTTAGCCTAATTTGAGTCGGGAACTTTTTATGTATCGTACTTTTAGAAGAAAAGGCCAATTAACCAAAGAAAGCTCTTTTAATAACTTTCATTTTAATTTTTAGGTCCATGAAGCAGAATCTAGTTGTTTTCCTGGCGGATATGTACAACGTTCTAGAAATTCATCCGGCGAAATGCGTGCGTTATCCCGGAGAGGAACGGGCGATGCAATACTTAGATGGTACGTAGACGTTCTTTGATCGAGAACAAGTTTGTCGATTAGAAACAGACTTGTGCGACGACTTGTGGCACTTTAATATCTCGATGAGAGAGAGAGGGAGAGAAAGAGAGAGAGAGAGAGAGGAATCGTGAAAATTGGTGGTGGATAAATGTGATTGGTGGAGGCCGTACGCTGTATTGGACTTTATACCCGTTCTATGATTTATTTTATTATATATTTTCTCCATAAAATCCCACTGCTATTGCAGGCAATGTCGAGTCTTACCTCTGATTAAATATATATATATACTCTAAATTAATCTATATAATAGAGATAAATAAATCAGCAAGAATGAGGCGAGGAGTGAATGTTGCCTGCAATTGTAATGGTATCACGCTTTTTATCAGTGTCGATACACACACTCGATATCCCAGCCTCTCGATCCAGATTCTTGCCGAGAGCAGCGATTTAACTACGCTATCTCTGTTTGATATGAATTGGCCTTTGCGAAATACGGACAGTGAGATCGCCGTTGGAAACGGGCAAAGAGAGATATGATTGTACCTACTACGAAACTCACCATCTCTACACGAAGCACTTAATCTACAACTGTAATATTTCCATATATTTCTATGGCGTAACCTCTTCTTGACGCTTGACACGACAACGCTATCCTCGCCTTCTTCTTTCGTCAACTTCCGGTTGCCCGTGAACCACATGATACGGCGTGGCGACGGCGTGCAGCCTGCCCGCGCAATAGTCATGGCGTAGCTCATAAGAGAAGCCTGCCACAGTCTATAGCTCCGATACCTGATCTGAGAAGCAACCTCTCCGTATCCGCGCCAGGCTTCACAGGTATCCACACGTTACCACAGAAAAAGCCAATCTCATGAACTCTCTACTAGGTGGTCGTCTTGCCCTTACGAGTCGCGTTTTCACGGATTACCGTTTTTCAGAGTGTCTCAAAGGGATCAGCGGTTATATCTGTCATTTTATCCTCGTATGTGTAGATGTGCCAGGTCATCCACATTTAAATGCAACGCACACTTGTCTGGTCATAGCCGTTACAGTCGAATAAAATGTGTTATAGTATTTCAATATTACAGCATTTTATAAATTGCTTTAGACAATAAACTTAATACTAGTTATTTAATAACATAATGATAAAGTACAGTTACGCGGTGCTTCAATTTTGACGTTTCAAGTCTGCAACAATGTCGCTATAAATAATGAAAAATAATTTTTTAGTATTGCTAAAGTTTTGAAATGTAAAATTCCTTCTAGAACAAGAAAAAGACCATGTGTTTTGGCAATAATTTGCGTACGATCTGTATTTAAAGTGATCATGATCCCGTTGGACTAATCTCTTAGTGAAGTTCGTGAATTGTGAGGAGCACTTGCTTGTTACTAATCACATATTGTTTGCATTTCATCTGATCATTTATCGTGAGAACATAGAGTGATAAATACATCTCCCGAGAATATAGATTTGCATGCGAGTCGCGTACTTTTGCGTACACGATCACTGGCTGCTTGACGCTTGCATTGGACATTGGCTTCACATTACGTTTCTTTTGCATGCGATTTGAGTCTATCAGCGCTGCTATCAGTCATTGTCACGGTGCAACGAGAAAGATGAGGACTACGTCGTTCATTAAGGTCCACTCCATGTTTAGTTAGTACGATTACGTTGCGACGATGTATTTATTCGTATTGTTTATGGTGTCTCGTTTGGTTTATGGGTTATCACGTACCGGGCTGTTCGTTTCGTATTATGTTCATTTTCAGATTTGTCTGACACTCTGCGATGAGAATTAGAGCGCTAGACATTAGTTTGTAGCGTGACTCGATGTGTACATTTGTACGGTGTTTTCTCTCAAAATGTTTGACATGAAGCTTTTCCGTTTCGGCCCTTGGAATTTGCACAAAATGGAAATTCCCGTGCTTTATTTTGTCGGCTTCCGTCGTTGTGTACTTTTATATCAATATCTAGCTTGTTGACAGTACAAAATAAAGCACGGGAATTTCACATTGTGTTCTTAAGTGATCTGTTGCGTAAGCTTTATTTAATGTGACAAAAAATGTAAATTTATTATCTGTTGAGCATTTTACTATTTCTTCTTGAATATAGTTTGAGTGATGAATGAACTTTTTCATTCAATTAAATATAAACGTAGAAAAGCGACCGATCGATCGTTAAAATATCTTTCTAGTTACGAAGTCGACTTCAAGCACTTCTGTGAAAAAGTCACAATCTTTGCAACAAACTACCGAGAGTCATCCATACGACGACAGGTATGCTATCGTATTTAATATCATGTAAAAATGAAACAAGCTTAAATAATTAAATTGTTGGCTATATACTTACATATTTATAAAAGTGTATTTCCATAAAACTTGTCACACACACGATTATATCTAATTTACTTTAATCATTCTTGTAGGCGCGCAGGCAGCGAGGAAAGCTTCGTAGTGCACCGTGGCAAGGGCATTCCCACGCTAAGCTCCGTAGCCGATGACAAATCCGCAGCCAGAACCGAAGCCGCTGGTCGGCCGAGCAACTGGGAGGACCAACGACGAAGCTCTTATGCCGGACGTCGGTCGAGACGGAACAGCATCACGGACGATTCTCAGCTGACCATCGAGAACTTTGGCGGTTCTCAGGTACGTGATGGACGTACGACGCGTCTTGTGTTCATTCATTCGTTGCGTGAAAAAAGATAAGGGGATTGTCTCGAGAGGACAAGCGATATAATCGAGTGATTTCTTTTATCCAGGATAATTTACACAATTTTGGTAGAAATCCGGATAAAGAGGTAGGCGCGCACATCGGTAAGCGCAGCACGACCGAGCCGACGTTGCCGGCGCGATCCAGTGTTCAGGATGTATACGGCAGCGGTGTTCAGCATATAATTGCGGACAACGGCTACGGCGGCGGCGAGGAGCCGCCGAGGTTGCGGCGACAGGCGTCCAACTCCAGCCTGGACACCGTTGCTCTTCGGCACATCTTACATTCCAGCGCAGAGAACGACGGCGGTGCGGATATTGGCGGCGGTGGCGGCGACGCTATTTCGGCCACGAAGTTTGCTAGTTTTGCGAATCTGAGCAGGCAGAGCTCTGAGAAAGGGATCAATTTTACGTACATGGAACAGGAGCGATTGGACGACGCTAAGTTGAACAGAAAGCACGGTCAGAGCAACGGCAACGGAAACGGCGAGAAGAAAACGACGTTCGCCACTCTGCCCAACACTACCACGTGGCAACAGCAGAGCAGTCAGCAGTCGCAACAAATGGAGCAACATTCTATCGGTAAAAGATATTCAAACGCATTGGATTCAGACGTATTTTTGGAAAGATTTAGACATTTATTTCATTTTGAATGATACAAATTTTTGTAAAAGCAGAAGTGTTTTTATAAACTTTCTTATTTAGATTTTTTTATATTTTATATTTTTATTTATATAAATGTCAAATATAAACTTATCAAGAAAGTTGATTATGATACCAAGAACAAATCTCGTTTATTAATGTAAAAGTGAATGAAGATTTTGCAGTACGAGGATGAGTCACTTAATTTTATGGACATTACTTGCTATTCTTGTTTCTAAAAATGTCTCTGTGATGTTAGACGAGAATGGCGGTAATACCATAATGGCCTCGCAGTTGAATAATATACGACTGAAGCTTGAAGAGAAACGACGGCATATAGAGAATGAGAAGCGAAGGATGGAGGTTGTTATGTCGAAGCAACGGCAGAAAGTGGGCAAGGCGGCGTTCCTGCAAGCGGTCACGAAGGTAAAACACGGGATTATATCAACCATAATTTTTTAGAAAAAAAAACTAATACACACTACAAAATGTTTACGTACCACGTCGTTATCATGATTAATTGTACGTATCAGTTTTTCACTGATTTTTGTCACGATCAAAATTAAAAAATGGTTTGTTTCTTTGATAGAAAAAAATGCAGGCATAAAATAAGTAAAATCGATATAAATCGGTACGAATTGCGGAATATTGAGTGTTTCGTCGAAACGCAACATTAAGGTCTGCCATGCTGTGTGACAGCTACTTTTCGAATCTGGGCACGGGTGTTTAGTATAGAGTAACGTAAAAATCTATCTCAGAAAGTACAAAGTGTTTCTTTTCTCCCGCTTTTTATTCATATGTTCTACATCGTATATCGTTAGTTGTGCAAAAATACATCTCGATTGTTCGATATCGCTTGTTCAAAGGCATAAAAGTATCAGTTAAAGTTACAGTATTATTTGCAAAGTAGATGTAAAATATATGACTGTCCTCATATTTCAAGTTATAATTGAATTTTAGTTTATAACTCGTCTTCTTTTTATTTTAATAGCTCCATGTAGATTGGTTATTGGTTCGCTTTGGTTGTACATAATCTCCTCTTTGTTTGCGCCGTAAATAATCTCGGTTGCCAGCCATACTGTCCTAACATAATTCTCTTTCTGACATTTCAGCTATACTTGATGGTAAGCGCATGCTAATGCACTAAATTTCTGTATTTACAACAGGGTTGAATATATTTCTAATGAAAATACGTTTCTGTTGAAGCAGAAATCGTGTGAGTTTGACAGATTTTAACTTAGCGCTTGACAGATTTTTTCTTACTGAAAACGGCCTCAATGTTTTGGAACTAGAGCAATTAATATTTCAGAATACACTCGTTTGCGTCTTTTTTCTTCTTTAATTATAATACTTTTTTCTTTAATTACTATAAATGATTATATGTATGTGATTTTAGTTTCTCAATTCGTGTTTTAGTTCCAACGTATTGATAGAATCGTGAAAGCATGTAATGTTTGAAAACAAGTAGACAAATTTTGTCGTGTTTAAAGCACTGCATGCTGTTTTATAAACAACATATATTTATAATTTTTTATGAAAGTGGAGAGTTTACGTATGAGATACAACAGAAGAGTTGAAATCGAAAAGTTTTAGATGTACCTAATCTATTAGTCAAAGTACTAATCTCGTACAATTATCATATTATTATGTTTAGAATTTAGAGTATACACATATCATCGTTTATATTAATATTTAGAATCGAGATACAAATCTCTGATTTTAATTTTTTATATATTTCTATGCACATACATGATTAATTTCTTCTACCATTTCGAGTAAGATATAAATATTGCGTGCTCCTAGTTTAAGAGTCAGTTGTTGAATTAAATATGATTTTGCGAGCTCTCTGGATGGGCTTTGGCACTTAATTTCGCTTGAGTGTAACTTGAACTTTGGCCGTGAGCAGACATTCGACACCATGGTGTTTGATGGTGATTTGGTGGCGGACTCTGAGTACTTAACAAGGCACGCTGGTTGGGCTGGTTGCAGGGTAAGGTTAAATCTCCTTCTTCGTCAACGTCCGGGGGGGACAGTCCGGCCGAGACAATCGGTCCCCCCACTCCTGTAACCTCCGGATCTTCCGGGGCGACCCCGACGAGCGTTTCCGAGGCGTCCTCTGTACCCCAACAACCCCCTCAAGAAAAACCACAGAGACCCTTCTCGCTCAAGGTACGATATTACGAGCAGTGCAAGCGTTCTACGTAGACAAGAGATTCCGAAACTAATTATTTTTAATATTCTTTATAGAACGTTATTATACGCGCTTCTATGAATGGCTTTTGAACGTCGGTTAAATTTGTTTTTTTCCCCCTTCATTTTTGATGTGCAGCGAGAGAACAAAGTAAAGAATTTAACGTGATTATTTTCCCTCTTGATGTTTTTACAGATTTCGAAACGGGCAGTTTTAAAAGCACTACGTGTGAACAACCGCTTTACCCTTTTAGTAGAATATATTTTCGACAACAGACAATTATTCTCATGCTTCTTGGTGCTTTTTGTAGAGAAAAACGGAATATTACCAAGATAATTGTATAATTATTTTGAAATGATGTGCACATCCACTTGAGCTACAATGTCCCTGGCATGCATGGATACGATACTAAACACTCCCTGGAAAAGAGTAGCGATCTATTTACTTGCATTTATTATCGGGTGATGGTTGCTCAAACGATTCAATACTTCATACGATCTCTCTTACACGCATTAACAGAAATAAACTTTATATTTTAATATGTATATATGTATGTTTTTCTAATAAGTTTCTAATTAGCTAATTAGCTGTTTTGAAAATTTAATTTAAGTTTCCATCTCTAATTATGTTATTAATTACGAATTCGGTGGCGAGTCGTGCAAATGCGACACGTATAATTACCACGCTCCTTCAATTAAACTTACACTGCGAACTTGTAGAAATTTGAGAAGCGGGCCTTGACATCATTCGCAGTCACATAAGATATTGATCAAACAGGCGGATAAATGCCGTCTATAGATCGTGTCACCAAGTTTCCGGATTATAACTGGATCAAGCGTAATCTATCCGTTGAATTCTCAATTATTTCAAGTGTGTGCGAGGAATTAAATTCGCGCTTCGTCGATGTTTTACTCGTATTTACCTCGGGTAAATATTCGCGTAGCGTTATTCATAAACAACATGATATTTTGCATCATTTGAAAGCGCAAGTGCAGACCAGTGACATGGTTCATATATTTTGTTCACTATAACTCTTTTTGGATTACTTTTCATTTGTGCAGAACACACTGCGAGTCAACAAAGCACGCGCCCGTATATCTCGAACATTTTCTTTTTTTTTCACAATCTAAAATGTACAATTCACACTGTCACGCATAAGCTTTATTGAAAAACAAAAATATCGGACGGTTATGCTACGGTACAGTTATTATACACAAGTACACTTATAGCTCCATAATCTCTTTCTGAGGCATTCCGTTTCTGTGATAACGAATATAGGAAATTAGTGAGGATGTGCGGGATGTCGAGCACAAGTGGTTGGAGCACGACGGCAATGCGCCATTCATCGAAACCAGACGCACTCCAGATATCGAGAACATGGATCCCGAGCAGTATCGTCAATCTATATCGCAGTTAGTATCCGCCTTCACGCTTATATATATAAAAAAAAAAAAAAAAACGAGGAAGATAGCATCGGCGAATGCGATTATATATTTTCGCGATGTGCGAGCGCTTTTCGAGTTACGCGTGCATGTAAAACTCGTCGTTTGTCGCAGAATGAATAATAGCTTGAGCGAGATTCAAGCGGACATACAGCGTCTGTCGGACCAGCAGAATCAGATTCAGCAGCAACACCTGATACAACATCAGAAACAGATGCAGCAGCAGCTTCAGCAACTGCATAGTCTTAGTCAGCAGCATATGCAAGTGCGTTCTTAGAAGTATATCGCGCAGCCGCGGGCACGTTATACTTTTAATTGCATCTCAATCATTCTCATCTTGCAGACTTATGGAATGCCGCCGATGAATCCGCTAACGCCCAGACTGCAGGAGTCGCAGTTCTATTTGCACGACCAGCCGCAGGTGCAGAGGAGAATGTGGGGTCAGCCGGCGCCCGCTCAGAGTCTGGCTAACGAAATGGCCGCGGTGGGCTACCAGCAGCCGATGGATTCACGGTTTAGCCCTCAACCCGCCGGTACATCATCGAGTTTATTTAGAACAAGCGCCCCGCAATACTGTGATAAACTTCGCGATTAATTCGTTTTTGCGGAATAAAGTGTCTAAAAAGGGAAGAATATTTTACAGCCAATATTATCGACGTCTTATACGGAAAAACTGCACGTATCTCGAGAGTGACTTCCCTCGACCAGCCACTCAGAAAGCTTGCTCGCAAAATTAGTTCTCAGAAATCGTGATAACGATTAACGATATATTTTTCTTTCGCGCTTTAATTTCGATACACATGCTTCAGTAGATTATTTCTCGAATGTCTTTCCTTAGCTTATCAGCAGGACATGCGCATGTATGCGGATCCCACGAGGACTTGGGCCGCGCCGCACCCGGCGCAAAAAGGATTTGTCCTGCACGATACTCAGGAACCAAGGTACCTCAACGGTGGGGATCATAGTCTTTGTAATAATCAAATGAGCCATCCCGGCCCCACGTATCCAGCGTCTTCGTCGATTTTCAACCAAACACAAGCCCCGTCTGCTAGTCCACAGCATCGTAACGCCGTAAGTGTTCCCGTAATTTTATTTCCGCATTCATTCCCGTTTCATCCGTGTTTTCTTTACACGCTCGCTAGTACGAAACGCAGACCGGGCATAAATGTTGCATCGCCTTTTATCATAAGCTCCATCGTCCCTCTCTTTCTCACTCACACGTCACACTTTTATTCATACTGTCTTACACTAATAGCTTTTCTGCACACAATACGCACACACATGACTGCATCACTTTGTTACGAAAGACAAAAAGACGGGCGAGACCGAATGCTGCGCCCAGCGGCAGCTGGTGTGTGAGTGAAAAGGTATAGCCGAGTGTTTGCGCTGATGTGTGTGCTGATCATCAACTCGATTTGGTCACTTCAATACGAAGGATCGGCACGAGTGCGTACGTATATGCATGGGAACCAGTTGGTGATGTAATGCACGTTTATAGACACCCGTTCTTGACACCCAACATGGCAGACACTGCCCACACTGGCAGAGACTAGGCGCCTGGGCGGTCGCGCTCCGGCTCGGATTCACACCTTTAGTCTTCTCCAAGTGATTTGTTAATTTGAATAACATGTATTTCCTCTGCTCGTCGTCGACCGTTGCGACTTCGCGCGATTACTTCGCTGAGGTTTGCCTTGATTCGTTTATTTTTATGTGTTTGCGTCTCGCTCTTGACACGCGGAAGGAGACGATCGTTGGATCGTGCGCGAGAAATTCATTTTATAGTGATATTGTGATAGTGTTTTTATCAACGCTATTTTAGATCTGTGTCTAAATTTGAGTTTCATTATTATCAGTTTTTTTTAAATAAGTGTTTTAACGAAAAATCTCGTAAATTGACAAACAACGTAACTCAGTCGTGCGGGATTTATTCTAGTATTTAATAAGAGGAGATGTTTGGAAAAATCAAATCACTGGATTTATCACTTTCTCATTTATTTTATATAATTCATGAAGAAATAGAATATATATTTACCCTATTTCTTACGACTACATTTTGTTTTTTCAGGTTCATCGAATAAGTCAGTTAATTAGCGAAAGCCCCGAGCCTAAAAGAACAACTGTACATCATATCCCGATCTCATGTGAAAGTCCGACGGAAAAGAGGCAGGTCGCTTTGCACACTCCAGTGCCAGCTCCGCCTGTCGATGATATGAAGCCCCAAAATATATCTTTCATTGGTAATTTAACTATTTCGTAACATTATTTCTTACGATTATTACGAATTATATACGACATATGACGAGGAAATTAGTACTTAGACTTGTTAATGTTAAATGAAAAATTTTTTTATATTAATCTAAGGTATAAAGAATTACAGAGATGTCTTTTCTTAAACTTGTTCTTTTATTCTACGAAGGTAACGATGACGATCTCGCGCAAGGTATTCGCAACTTGAACATCACGTCGGGCAGTCGTACGTATAGAATACCTTCGCCAACCAGACCTACGATATCACAAAATTCCTTCCAACCTCATCCGTCGTTGAGAGAGACGGCTTCGTCGCGTTCGGCCACTCCGGATGTCACGCCTCTTGATCATACAGATGCGGGTGAGAAAGGGTTCTACATCTCCTTCGACAATGACGCTCCTAAGAAGCCAAAACCGACTCTCAGAGTGAAGAGGACGTCCCCGAAGAAGGTAAATGCTTCCGTTCTCATGAAAAATTGCAATTTTTCAAAAAGTTTACAGTTAAACTTTGATGCAAAAGAGTAGTATATCGTGCTGTGTGTTAAATATATATATATTTAAAAACAATTGATTCTTCAGGAACGGAGTGTATCATCTTATATCGAGCATGAAGACTTTACGGTGCGTCCTGAATCGCCTCCTGCTAACACAATTGAAAGGCAGAAACAAATGGAAGCTCAGAGAGAATTGGAGCGGGAGAGATTGCGACAAGCTGAGGAGAGAGAACAGCAGAGGCAAGAAATGAGGGATAGAGAACTCAAGAGAGAAATGGAGAGGGAACGGCAGAGGGAAAAACAGCGCGACGGCAGCACGGACAGCCGACACGCTTCCGGAGTTGGTTTGATGATTGGGAACCAACTCACGAATCCTGATCCAGTAAGTAGTATTAGGTCCTTGAATAAGTTCTCGCTGTTTCTTAAAAGATGGCGTAGCGGCACTCTGTGCATGGAATTTCGTACGGAAACGCATCAGCTAAGTAGTACTATATGTAACCTCAAATTCTAGTAGATACAGTTTACCACAGTGTCAACCACGTGTTTAATTACCTATTGCGAAAATGTCTACTTTTGTGCCAAATAAAGTGTTTTTGCGGGGAATTTTATTGCACTGCTTTATTCAAAAGAAATCTGCAGCTGAAGCACACAGAATTCTTGTTGAAACATATGGTGACAATGCTCTGTCGAATACGACATGCAGAGACTGGTTTAGGCGCTTTAAAAATATGACTTTGACCTTGAAGATAAAGAACGTTCTGGTAGCACCGACAAAGTTTGAAGACGAAGAATTGGAGGCATTGCTTGATCTAGATCCATGTCAGACGCTAGTAGAGCTCGGGAAAACATTGCAAGTAGATGCGTCAACAGTTTCAAAACGTTTAAAAGCGTTAGGAATGATCCAAAAGCAAGGACATTGGGTGCCGTATGAGTTGAAGCCGAGAGACGTTGAACGACGTTTTCTCATGTGTGAATTGCTGCTTCAACGGCATAAAAGAAAAGGTTTTCTGCACCGTATCATCACTGGAGATGAAAAGTGGATACACTACGATAATCCTAAGCGTAGAAAATCGTGGGGTAAGCCCGGCCATGCATCAACATCGTCGGCAAAGCCGAATATTCATGGTTCGAAACTTCTGCTCTGCATTTGGTGGGATCAGCAGGGCGTAATTTATTATGAGCTGCTTAAACCTAATGAAACTATCACGGGAGCTCGCTATCGACTTCAGATGATGCGTTTGAGTCGAGCTCTAAAAGAAAAGCGGCCACTATACGGGCAGAGACACGACAAAGTCATTTTGTTACATGACAATGCTCGGCCACATGTGGCAAAACCAGTCAAAACTTACCTGGAAACGCTTCAATGGGAAGTTCTACCTCATCGTATAACTTCGTATAATGTATGCTATACGAAGTTATTACGGGTCCTTGAATAAGTTCTCGCTGTTTCTTAAAAGATGGCGTAGCGGCACTCTGT